TTTTTATTAATCTTGATATTTGGAAGCTAGCAACGTGAAATTTTGAATATATAATTATCAAAACCTAGGTGCATAATGTTATAAATTTCGTGTGATGTTGTTATGTAGGTTTTTCATTAATTAGTGTAAATACGTGATCAAATACTTTTGTCCAGCTAGTGTATATATGTATATATATATATTAATATTAATATTATAAAATAATTAAAACTTTTCTCCGAAAAAGATTGCAATAACATCATTTTGAATTTGAGACTTTAAACTGCGTGTACTACATGACAAAAATTGGCACGAAAAAAATATATTTAATATTAAATATGTATGTATGTATATATATATATATATATATATATATATAATGTATATATTATAAACCTCCAACCCGTTAAGGAAGAAGCATAACAGTAGTTATATTCGTTGAACTATTTACATCTGGTCGAGGTTCATGGAATTCATCAATGATGCTACATTTTACATCATTTGTTACTTTGTTGTTTATATTGATATTTTTGGTTCTGCTAAAATGTATTACCCTATTAATATCAGGATCTAACTTTAAAAATCTATTATATACAAACAACGAATCAGTTCGTAGTGGATCAAAAATATAATTAATATCGAAGTTTTGTTTGTTTCTGGTCCTAGCGCACCGTGTATGTAAATAGCATATCTTCTACATTTTTTGTTTATTGAATTTTTTTGTATAACTGTTGATGGTGACTTTATTCTCTAGAGAAATTAACAATAGTAATTTTTAATAATAAAAAACAAAGACTCTGACAAATTAATATATTACTATATTGTTACACGCTCAACATCTTGCAACAATACTCGGTCAAGTTTTCTGGGGCAAACATGGTTATGTAATCATTTCCTGCTCCAACCCGTGAATTGTGAACTGTGACAGTGAAATTGCAAGTTAGGTTATTTTCTATACAAAAAGTTAAAGCCGGAGGAACTAATATATCGTTCGATTCAACTTCAACCTTTTGAATGGTATCATTTAAATCTTTTATTTCGATATATAAATCATAAATAAGAAGAAATCACAAGAATATAACTGACTGCTACAACTTTTGCAAAATTAATTAAATATTCTCTTGGCTTTGTTTCTTTTTCCGACATTTTTTCAAGAAATTTAAAAATATGTTAAACTTTGAAAGAAAAAAAAAGAAAATTCACGCGATGCTATATTATATATATATTTTCATGAATAGGCTTCGGAAGAAACAATTCATTAGACACAATAGGTCTCATTACCTTTTAGAATTCAAGTACGTAGCAGATTTGTGTAACGAATGATTGGTGATGGACATTCGTATTTCAATTGAAAATTTTAAAGTATTATTACCCCATTCGGAAGGTGAATGGACGAACACTAATTAACCTGTGTTCAAACTTTGCAGTAATATAATCATTCATCTTTTAAAACGTTTTCCATGTCTGATCATTCCTTCCTCGACTTCAATACATAATAGTGAAAAATTAGACAATGCGCACTTTGTAAAGAAACCAAAACTGAAAATTTTTAAGAACAATAAATGAAACTACTAAAGGAAAAGCTGGGGAAGGAAGGATGCAGCAAGGTAGTCGTTCTATAATTATTGTTAAATTAATAGTTTTGTATTATATATTTATATCTGTTTCTTATTATTAGATAAAAATGAATGTGGATAATAGAAACAAGGTAAATAAATAGGAAACACAAAAGAAACAAGGTAGTTGTTCTATAATTATTGCTAAATTAATAGTTTTGTATGATATCTTTATTTACATATTTATTTATTTATTTATTATTAGATAAATAGAAAAGAAACAAACAATTATTGTTAAATTAATAATTTGTATAATATATATATATATATATATATCTATTTTGTGGATAATAATAATTTATCTATTTCGTGGATAATGGTTGTTCTATAATTATTGTTAAATTAATGGTTATTAGATAACATAATAAAAATTTGCTTCCAATATCTATTTGATAAAAACTTGTATATATATTTTTTTATAATTGGTTAAATACTGGGCTAGCAAAATACATGCAAGAATTTAGTAATCAAATTTCGTGATAAAATCAAAATATGATCGACGAAAATCATTACCAATTTGTGAATGTCCGCCATGTTGAAGTTTTGAATTATATACATTGCATTGTATCCTTGTTTGTATATATTTTTAATAAATGTGTCACATGCACAGAAAAGTAAATATGATCTTTCCGTTTGAATTTTCTCTATGATGCAAGTCACTTAGTCCCACAACTTTTTATTGGTCGTGTAGATTTTCAAATTCTCCAAAAATGGAAATGCAACAC